TCAAGAGAGTACTATATTCTTTTGGTTCAGTCAGTATATACAAGTGTGATCGTTAAGTCGTTGAAGGCATTTTACAAACGGTTCAGAGATGCGAGCGGCTAATTTGGACAGCTGAGGGTCGAGACAAACTGCCATAAAACACAAATAAATTCACAACAACAGTTTATTTGAAAAACATCATAATTTGGTGTTGTTATTGCGCGCCTATATGTACAGAATATACGTCATTTTGTGAGCATAATTTCGGAAATCAGGAGCATAATTTGGGAATTCTCGCATAATTTTGGCATAATTTGGCAAAATTTCGAGCACTGCTAGTAGAATAATATGCCACTTTTAGGAGCACAATCCGCCAAGGCCTACCCGGTAAGGGGAGCCAAAGCGTTTATATGAAGAAAAGTTGTCCCGCTTGCCAGGGTTACCCTACCTGCCGAGACGAGACAACTCGCCAACCCGAGTTGTCTCGCCCCCCGAGACGGGTTCGCGATCCTAATGTAAACGGTTGGTTGAATTTTGCAAAGAAATAAGCTAACAGGTACCTCGGTGAAGGTAACTCGGGGGAAGGGTTGTATCGGGTACCCGAGAACATATAAATGGGGCCTAAGTCTGTCACCGACAGGGATCGCTACGGTCGCCAGTGAGTGGTGTCATACTCTCATATGATCGAAAGATCGCTGAATTTTTTTTCGCAACGATCGTAGCGATCATATGAAAACCAGCCTTAACATTCAAATGCTGAAATGAGATCTATACGCAGCCATACACAAAAATAAGGTACTTTTAGTATATTTCAAGTTTTTTTGTGTACTGATGCGCTATTTGGATTATTTTCCTCAGTGTAGGGATAACTATAACCTTCGTTTAGTTTAGTCGATTCGAAACATTTCTACTACTAACGTACGAAATTTGCATATGACATTACGCTCCACGAGATGTGCATGTTAGACAAGTTTTATCACATCCCTCACTTGGCTCTGAGTAAGTATAAAAGTTAACCTCATTCAAATAGTCCCGGGTCCCGGGGCAACTCTCCCCCTCCCGAAGCAATTTTATTGAGCGTTTATATACGAAAACGTTGTCAAAGTCGACCCTGCACGATCATTCAATAATCAGCATTTTACTCGCCCACCCGAGTTGTTTCGTCCCCCGAGACGGTTCGGCGATCTTCGCGTAAACGGTTATTTTTCAAAGAAATAAATGAGAATTTAGCTCGGCAAGGGTAACTCGGGTAAAGGGCTGTCTCGGGTATCCGAGACCATATAAACGGGCCCCAAAAGCAAGCGCCTGCTGGAGGACTTGCAAGCCTGGTTAATTAGAGATTTATGACGCGAATGACAACGTTCATAAAAAAAAAAATGCCACGGACTTATTAGGACAGTAAGCCATAAAATGAAAACGAAAGAAAACCTTCAAAGATGCATCACGCGGTATAATAATTTAGACAGTCAAATATTGGACCAGTAATGGAGCAACCTGATCGGTTGTTTTTAGTTGCTGGTCCTCTCACCTAATATCTAGTGCTGTCTTGTTTTTTTTCTTTCATGTCTAGCCTAGATAATAGCAGTTTAGTCACAAAATAGAATTTTTCCTCTGATATTGATAGCAACTTGCCCGTATGTCAATGCTTTTTGAGGTAACATTGTGCTTTTATTTAGAACATTCCATATTTCTTGTAATTACGTAAAAATAAGTTTATGCAGAAAAGTGGTTATGTTATGTGTCTAATCGATTGCAATTATTTTTTTTTTTTACTGTCAGCATTGTTAGTAAAAAGTGCAAGATCAATAGAAGGTAAGCTCGATAAAAACTGTTAAGGAAAATTTAGTATACATACCT